GATGGGCATTTAGGATTGAGCATGTCTCATCTCTCCCCCCCACTTCTGTCATTAGGCCTGGAAGAGCCGTATTTGCAGCTTTTTGCATTTGATAATCGCCTCCAGATGCCTTCATTTTCTGGGCTACATTGTTTTTGAGGAAAAGAGGGTTTGCCTTTGAAAAATGTTATTGACTAATTTAATAATGAGGGAAAGAAGAGGATAAATGTGGAACAGGAAAAGAGGAGAAGAGAGTAGTAGAGATAGAGGGAGAGACAGGAGATGCCTAAACCTCTTTGACCTTGGTAAATGTTTTCCATGCATTATCCTTATAAATGGGTTTGATGCCCACCTTCCACTGGTCAGAAACTTGAACAAAGGCCTTCAAGCCCTCTTTAAACATTTCCATTGCTGAAGACAGCAGCAATTCCATGGCTTAAACTAACTTGAAAGAACTTCAGACAAGAACATCAACTTGACACTCTGAAGGTAGGAGGGAGCCCCCCAGTAGAAAGGTTTGTGATTTTACCTAACAACGCTCACACCCACTCTGAGCCTCTACACCGTGGGGGAGTGTTAGTTGCCAAATTGTGTCTGGTTTAACCTCTTTCCAGCAGAGGTCGCTGTGGACACTGGGAGTGGATACTTGTGGGAACTGGACCAGGCAGCCTGGGTTAGATAGATGGTGGCTACATTGTGTGGTACCTGCTCTTTCTGCTGTTCTGCTGGCCATCATCTGGTCTCTCATCCTATGGGAAGTAGATCTCTGTGAAGATTATCTCAAAGCTGCACAGTACCTTTGCTATACAAGTGCTGTGAGATCAGGGTAACTTACTGGGGAGGGCAGGTTTGGGAGGGCCATGCTCATCCTCTAGGGGTATCACCTTGTAGTGTACGTCTGTGTTACCCTTGTTTCTTGCCTGAGTGTACCTAGTATTTCTGAGACACCACCTGTGACTGACCAGCAACATCAGTGTCATGCCCTTCCAGGCATGGAGGCCAAAGCAACAAAAGTTGTCTTGCCACGTAGTCTTGCACCCACATCATAAGTGACTCTGTTGATGAGTCCCCTGCTAAGCCTCACTTGGAAGCACATGGTGGTGGCGAGGAGGCAGAATTCTGGTCTTTGGAGCAGCCTATTACAGTAGGATAAAGCTTCTGATAAAATGGGAAGGGCAGGGCACTGGTGAGTATGTTAGGGTCAGACCTGAGACCTCAGAAGGGCTGAAGAAGTCTCCACATACTTGTGAACTCCCCACTTACTGGGCCTTACACCGGCCAGGCAGGCTAGGCACAAAGCAACCTGAAGCTGCCTTCACCCTGAGGGCATCCGCTCAGACCCTAGGCCATTGCTGTGGCTTGAGAGTTGAAGATGTGACTACCCTGCTCCCCACCCCCACAACATCCAAGTCCAACAGTAAATGAGTAAGTGGTTCACCTACACACACACGCACACACACACACACAGCCAGAAGCACAAGCTCTGGCCGTGTCACACACATGAAGACTGAAACACACATGGGTACATTCAACCGGTCACACATTCACACCCACACTCTGACCCACACCATCATCCATGGAAACCCTCACACATTTAAACACATCCCCGCCCCAGAACCAAATTTGACCTAACATGGCTGATGGGGTGTGGGAGGGTCCAGTCAGGATGTCCCTCTGGACCCTGGTCCACTCATGCCCCATGAACTCCAGGCCCCTTGCTCAAGGTGGAGACCTCACCTGTCCCTGTCCTAGTGGTCACAGGTCACAGGTCCTGAACGCCCCCCATACCGGCCCCCGAAGGGGCCCTGTTTACCATCGTGTGCACAGAATCCTGGGTGCCTGGCTGGCCTTAGGGTAGGGGGTATGGGAAAAGAGAAAGATGTGGGGCATAGTGCCCTGCCCCGGCTCAGCCGCCTCCTCCCTCGGGATTTTCCATCCCGGCTCGCGCTGGCCCGCTAGAAGCCCGTGCGCTTTGTCTCCCGCCCCGCTCCCAGCACGTTTCTGTGGAAGCTGCCCGCGCCGCGCCCGAAGCCCCCCCTCCGAGGCCGCGCCCCCCGCCCAGCCCGCGGCGCAGGCCTGCCAGTGCAGCGACCGCCGCTTTGTCCTCTCGAGGATGCCTGGGCCGAGCGCGAAAGCCCCGTGCCTGGGAACAGCCACCATGCGTCCTAGAAGCAGGTCCCCGAGCCTCGGTTTGGGGTGCGCCCTGCATCGGAGCGGAGCAGCCCCCAAAGATTCGCGGGCACGAGGTTGGGGGTAGCGTCTACCTGGAGCTCTTGAGTGCTTGAGAGGAGATCCGCCCCGTCCCGCTCTGCACATGCCCATCTGGGGTTGGGCCCCAGCTGAGGTGTCAGAGGCTCAGTCCCCGGGGCGTGGTGGGCTAGTAAGGGTCGTCTCGACTTAGAGCCCCAGGCCTGGATCCAGGTAGGGAGGGCCTGGGAGATAAGGCCCGGGTGGGGAGAGATGGGGAGGGGTCCCTTGTCTCCTCTTACATCCCCCTACACCACCTCCCACACCCAGGCCACCCAACCCTAGGCGCGGGCCCGAGCGCGGGGGATTCCGAGTGTCAGTGCTTTCCTCCACCCACGACTCCGAGCAGGATGGGGAGGGGTCTCCCAGCCTTTCCCTGCCACATCCCAATTCCACCCCTCACCAATAACCTAGGAGGGTCCAAGTGGAAGGGGTAAGAGTCCTCTGTCTCATCCACATCCTCGATCCTCCTCTTTACAAAACCCCAGGGCCTGGGGAGGAGGGGGGATAGGGAGGGGGCGAGTGTGGAGGAAGGGGCCTGGGGAAGGGTCTTCCCGGCATCCCAAGACGCCTTTCTTTAATAACCCTGGGAGGGTCTGGGCTGGGGATAGCGGTCCACGATCTCATCCATCACCACCAGACTCCTTTGTAACCTCGAGCAGTCGAAGTGTTGCGGGGAGGGGTCCCCCTGCCTCCAGTCCCCTCAACCCACAACACCCCCTCCTCCCGTCCTCAGTAATCCGAGCAGTCCGGTCGCCAGGCACAGTGGGAAGGAGGGTCCAAGCCTCCTCGCTCTCCCAGGAGAGATTGGGGGTGGTGTCCCCCAGCCCTCGACCCTCATACCCAAAAGCCTTCTCCACGATAAAACAAAAACTAACCCAAGCTGCTCCGACCTCCGGCGCCGGGCCACAGGAGGCCCCTAGTCAGTCTATGGCTGTCCGGGACCCACGGTCCTGAGAGCAGCGAGAACACGTCCCGTCAACTCCCCGAGCCCCTCACGGCTCGGTTCGCCCCCTCCCCAAGAAAACAAAAGCGAATTCAGCAGCACCGACCTCTGACGGCGGGCGGGAGGGCGGTCAGCGTCCGGCAGCGCACCCTGCTCCTCCCGGCTCCTCAGCCCGGGCTCCCGGCCGCAGATCTGGCGGCGGCTGCAGCGGCGGCTGCTCTCGCGGCTCTCGGGTCCGGAGCCTCCCTCAGACTCAGCACCTGGAGCGGCGAACAGCTCCGCGCTTCATTCCTCTGACCCCGCCTCCTTCGCGCCGCCGTAGCCAATGGTGACCCGGACCCCGCCCAGGAGTCTGCCCATTGGGGGCGTCGTCCCCTCTCCCTCCGGCCCCGCCCGCTGGTTCCTGGGTCTCTCCTTCAAGACCACAACCCCCAGAGACCGGTGGAGTTTCACACAGCCTTCTGGGACTTATAGTTCTTTAAGGACGCGGAGTGGGCTCACGCCGCGGGCAGACAAACAGAGAGGGACTGCATTTCCCAGGGTGCACTGAAGACACGGAGGCGCGGAGCAGGGCGGGAGGACCGTTTCCATAGCAAAGACGACCAGCCAAGGATGGCTGGCAGAGAAGTGGGGCAGGCCGCAGGACCCTCGAAGGATCGTGTGAGACCCCGGGCAGCCTCTTGGGAGGTCATTTCGAGGAGAAAACCTTGATTTCTGCTTCAGGACTCGGGGCCTCAGTTTTCCTGAGAAGAAGGGCGAAGAGCTGTGCCCCCGACCACACCCGTCGGTGATGGGGCAAACCGAGGGCAAGCCGCTTTGGTTCCTGCCCAGCAAAGGTGAGGGAGGACGGAGGAGACTCTCCCACCGCATTCAGAACTTTATTCCTTTATTTTTGTCTCAATCTTGTTATAGAGGAGCGCTTCACTTTTGGTCATCCCTTGGGCTACCAGGGCCTTCCCGTCTCCGTCTTCCCATCGCAGGTCCTGGCCTCCTTCACACCACTACCGGATACCGCAGCATCTCCCCTAACGCAGCAGATGGAGGGCGCTTCCCATGCCCCGGGACTTAAGCCCACTCTCCCCTTCGAGATCTGGACTCCACCTTTTTGCAACACTCTTAACTTCTTTGGAAGCTTGGAAGTCTCCTACTCCCTTGGGCCCCTCCACCCTGCCCTCAGCTAACTCCTCGGCAAGCCCCAACCTAGACACCGCCTGTTTTGTGAAGACATCTAGATGCTGGGCTCTCTGTTGAGTGCCCCACCCTGTGTTTGAGCAGCACCCTCTACTTCCCCTGTTCTACTTTCATGTTTATGTACTCATCTTCCTCATTATAAGATCCACAGGGGAGGGGCCATGTCTATACTATTCATACTTACAGTCCAGTGTCTAGTATCTGGCACGTAGTAGGCACTCACTAGCTATTTAGATATAAATATAGATATTTGTTGAATTGAAAATTAATTGGGCCGGGCGTGGTGGCTCACACCTGCAATCCCAGCACTTTGGAAGGCTGAGGTGGGCGGATCACCTAAGGCCAGGAGTTCAAGACCAGTCTGGCCAACATGGTGAAACCCTGACTCTACTAAAAATACAAAAATTAGTCAGGCATGGTGGTGCATTCCTGTAATCCCAGCTATTCAGGAGGCTGAGGCAGGAGAATCGCTTGAACCCCTGGAGGCGGAGGTTGGAGTGAGCTGAGATTGCACCACTGCACTCCAGCCTGGGCAACAAAGTGAGACCCTGTCTCAAAAAAAAGGAAGGAAGGAAGGAAGGAAGGAGGGAAGGAGGGAGGGAGGGAGGGAGGGAGGGAGGGAAGGAAGGAAGGAAGGAAATTTTAAAAAAGAAAATAAAGGAAACGAAGGAAGGAAGGAAGGAAGGAAGGAAGGAAATTTTAAAAAAGAAAATAAAGGAACCTCATTCACATACACCTCCAAAATTCTGATTTCCTAAAGTTGGGCATTTCTCATTGCTGGAAGTGTTCAATTAGAGGGATGCCACCCCCTTGAAGAAATGTTTATTTCATTTGTACAGTGGGTTGGGATTTTACCTGAATGCTTTGAGTACCCTTTTAATCCTTTGATGCTAGAGACTGATAGACCCATGCCTATTATTGCTGTCAGTTCTCCCTGAAATGTCATCAGTTCTTCATGTTCTGCTATTTCTAGCTGTTGGCCCTACTCCTTTCTGTGCCTAAATGCCCTACCTCCCACTCCTTTTCTGAGAAAGATCTGCCCTGTCAGTTGTGAAGCAAAGACGTCCTAAGATTCCTGCTGTTTATTTTATTTTATTTTATTTTATTTCTTTTCTTTTGATGGAGTTTTGCTCTTGTTGCCCAGGCTGGAGTGCAATGGTGTGATCTCAGCTCACTGCAACCTCTGCCTCCCATGCCCACCTCAGTCTCCCAAAGTGCTGACATTACAGGCGTGAGCTACCGTGCCTGGCCTCCTGCTCTTCTTTCTACCGTCTGCTCAGCATCTTAGGCCTCATTGCTAGGTGGCATCTTTCCTGAATATTTCTCCACTAAACATTCTGTTGTTGGCTAGATGGCCTAGTTAATCTACACATTTCATTTTATCACCTTCTCCAGATTTTTTTTGTGTATGTCAGCCGATATATTCTGGGGAGAATGCCTTAATATATGAGAATAATTAACTTGTGGCCAACAAGGAAATAACCAAGGGGACTGTTACTCTGAACCTAATTCAAACCAAAGAGAGAGAGCCTGAGAGAAAGCAGCTCTGTCATCCTTGAGTTAGTAACATCCAGGAAGGGAAGGCTAAGGTGGGGGAGTGAGTAAAACAGATGGCATTTAGGGAAGAACCAACAGGACTTTAAGAGGCATGGCAGAGGGGCTTTGATCCTGGCCAAACCATCAGGGAAGGCAACTGGAGCTGGCTGAACAGATGGGGCCTTATTACTGAAGAGAAAACAGTAAGGAGGCAGGGGGAAATGGGACGTGTGCTAAAGCAGAGTGCCTCGCTCAGTGGATGCAGTGAGAGCAGAGGCTGTTGGAAAAGTGGATCAAGGGAGGACCATGCCACCAGGTGGGCATCAGCAGAGTATCACCCGAGTATTGCAGAGGGATACCAAAGAAGCCCACCTGGAGCCAGAGCTGAAATCCTTTGGAGGTCAGTTTACCCCTTCAGAAGTAGTGCACCACCATCCATCTACCACTGGAATCCAATTTCAGTTTTGGCAAATTGTTATAAATAGGAAAAAGTCAGGGTTCCACAATTCTGTCAGCACTCAGAGACTATAACAGCATCTGTCCAGCCAAGTAGAGTTAGGAAACCTGGATCCTAATCCTGACTTTGCCTCTGATTAGATGTGTGACCCTGGGCTGGAGCTGTTTCTTCAGTTGTAAAATGCTATTTATTAGTGTTAGGTAGCAGCTAATAAGGATGGAGGTGGGACTGGGTGCAGTGGCTCACACCTGTAATCTCAGCAGTTTGACAGGCCAAGGCAGGAGGATTGCTTGAGGCCAGGGATTTGAGACCAGCTTGGGCTGGTCTTTTTTAAAAAAAAAAGAAATTTTTTTTTAAGCGTGGAGGTAGGGAAATTCAAAGCTACTTACTAGCTGTGTGACCTTGCCTAAACTACCTTCTTGGATTTGCAGTCTGTTTATTTGAAAATGTCATAAGGGATAAATGAGATTCCTTATGTAAAGTACTTTATAAATATTAAGCACTTACCAAATGTTAGTCTGTTTTCACATTATTCTTGGATTACCAGAAATTGGTTTGACTATGAATAAACAGGGGATAATTTCTTGGGTAATCTGAGTTTGAATCCCCCTTCTCTCTCTTACTAATTATATGACTTTGATTAGGTTATTTAATATTTAATTGTTCTGGGTCTCAGTTTTCTCATTTGTGAAATTAAAATGATGTGTTCTTCAGAGTTGTGAGGGTTAAATGAGATGAAAGGCCTGACTCATATGATAAAATGCTCAATATATTTGTTTTGTCATTTTTAAGGGGTGGTTTTAGGGCACAGAACCTAAAGGAATGAATGGAATTCTAAGTGCTTTGAAGCTAGAGTTGTGAAAGATTCCAGGGGAACACTGTGCTGGCCTTCTCCCTTCTTCTTGGGGAAGAAAAGATCTCAGTGAAGTTCCATGGGTCTTCTCAGTAAGCAGAGGAGATTAACTAGAATGCTGAAGCTCAGACACTGAGAGGTTAGAGTGATTGACCAGGGCTGGATCCTGAAGAGCTTGGTATTCTAGGCTGAGAATATAATTTTATTCTAAAGCTAATGAAGGTTTTTAAGGAGATGTGCATTTTGAAAAAGTCGAGGGGCTGTTTGGAGAACGGCCAGGAGATGAGGCTGGGATGTGGATCGGGAAGGTGCTGCGGTGATCCAGCATGGTGAGTGGAAAAGAGGGGGTAAATCTGAGAGATTTTTTTTTATTTGTTTGTTTGTTTATTTTTAAGTATTAATAGTTCATCAAATTTCCCATCTTTTTAAAGTAGCTCATCAAAGAGATATTAAGAAGGTAAATATTCGAGGACTTTGTGAATGAGAGCTGAGGGCATGGAGGAAAGTGGTAAAAGTCAAAGATGATGCTCAGGTGTCTGCCCCGGGTAACTAGGGGGATGGATGGGAGTGCTATCCCCTGAGATGTGATACAGTAAAGGAGCAAGTTTAGGCAGGAAGAGGAGTAGGTAAGTTTAAAGTGGGTATAGTATATCCAAACAAGGTGTCTAGGAGGTGGTTCGGAGCTTATGAGAGGGATCTGGTTAAGGGATAGTCATAAATTATCGAACTATCACCATATAGATCATAATTGAACCCATGGGAATGAATGAAATCCTTCAGTAGAAAGGGTCAAAGAAAAGAACAAAATTCCTTGGGAAATGCCAACATTTAGGGAACAAGTAGAGAAAGAGGAGCCCAGAGGAAAAGGTGAGACCAGTCAGAGAGACTGGAAGAAAATCATAGGGTGGGGTGCCACAGAAGCCACAGGGAGGAAGTGGGGTGGCGTGGTACCTTCAGATAAGCCAAGATCTGAAAAAACAAATACCAAATTAGCAACAAAAAGGTCACTGGTGACCTGGGAGAGAGTGGGTGCAGGGGAGTAGCAGGGACAGAAGTCTCTGTGAATGGGAGTACATGTAGACAACTGGGGGGAATGGATTGCTTTGGAAGGGGAGGAGAGAGAAAACCAGAAGGAATATAGGTTGAGGAACAATTTTGTTTTGAGTTGGGAGAAATTAGAACATCTAACAATAATAAACATGTAGGTAGGTAGTTGAGAAGTGGGCTCTGGAAATTGAGGGAGTTCATATTCCATGGCCGTTACTTCCTCTCCGATGCTGGAAGCAAGGATATGTGCTCAGTGTGAGGAGGTGGAGTGGGGTGGGAAACTTGGAGAAAGAAGAAAAGATTCAAGATGGCTGCTGTGGAAAACAGGAGGGAAAGCTAATGGCAATCCACAGAGGCTGCAGGATAGTGGTGGGGGCCTGCTGAAGTTGGAGACCATGGGTGTGGAAGCACTAATCCATGCGGTTATGGGCTTTCTCCAGCATCTTGTCGGCCCTGAGATAGCTTTGGTGAGGCTGGTCCAGACTGGGCTTTGCTGGACAAGGGAAACAAGAAGGCAAGGGACTTGGAGATACTGACAAGAGAGGTGGAAATGGTGGTCCACTAAGAGGAAGGTGAAGCCTGGATGGATAGGGCAGATGCAGGTAGTGAGGTTCTTGGTGGAGTGAGAGGACAGATGCTGTGGGTGGCAGGGAAGAGCAGGGAGGGCAAACAATGCTGGTCAGAGATGGAGGAGCTCTGGGCAGGAATGAGGGGGCAGGGTGGCTGGGGTGGACAGAGAGAAAGGCAAGTTTGTTATATGGGTTATTGGCAAGTCTCCTGGAAAGATGACCAGTTTGAAGGACACAGGAACCCTGGTAGCTCCATTCCAATGTACAGTGAGTGGCGTGTTTGATGATGGCAAGGTGGAGAGATGGAGTACAGAGCCCTCTGATGTGACAGTCACACAAACCAAGATATTGGGTGCTAAGAAGAAGCCCTCTTGCCTAGGATAGGTGGGGTGAGGAGGAAGCGAGGCAATGAACTTTCTCATACATTTTGTTTTCTTTCTTTCTTTCTTTTTCTTTTCTTTTCTTTTTTTTTTTTTTTTGAGATGGGGTCTCGCTCTGTCACCCAGGCTGGAGTGCAGTGATACGATCTCAGCTCACTGCAGCCTCTGCCTCCTGGGTTCAAGCAATCCTCCCACCTCAGCCTCCCGAGCAGCTGGGATTACAGGCATGTGCCACCATGCCTGGCTAATTTTTGTACTTTTAGTAGAGACAGGGAATCACCATGTTGGCCAGGCTGGTCTCGAACTCCTGACCTCAGGTGATCCACCCGCCTCGCCTTCCCAAAGTGCTGAGATTACAGGCATGAGCCACCACATCTGGCCTCTCATACATTTTCACAGAAGTCTTGTGTCAAAATCAATACACATGATCAGTTTTATACATCCCTAAAAGGCAGACTATCAGAATAAAATTAACCAAACCAAGAAGTGACTCCAGATTTCATGGTGAAGTTGTATCAACCAAGTTCAACAGTAGTGATTCCTGTAATTTATGTTTTGGTATAGTTTGTAGACTTAAGTATGTGCATATTAACTAGAAAATGTGTTTCGGAAACAAATTTGAATATTTTTTGCAAATTTTATTTCTTAGCAACGATTTGTTTTCTCAGTTTAGAACATAAATTAGAGAACTTGTGTTGATTTATTTTTTTCCAAATGTAGAGCTTAGAGCTTAATTCATGCCTTTGAAATGCCACGAATTTGAAATGCAGCCATATTCCTCTCTGCATCCTTGAAAGGGATTACAAGGATTTTATTAGTTTTTCAAATAATCTTGCCAGCACATTTAGACTTCCCACAAGGGTCTCCTATCAATAATGCCGGATTGTGAGTGATGCTGCCAAAGTGCTGTGCGTGGGATATTTAAGACAAGTCAAATAAGCAGCCAACTTTAGGATTTCCCAAGCAGGAGCTCAGTTTGCAATTACAGGACTTGGTATAGAATATGAAACGTGCATCTAAATGTTAATTAAGAAAAACAATCTCTGTAATGTCTAAAGAAAAAAGGACAAAATCAGTTAATTGCTTTGAGCAATCCCTATCTTTGAAAAAAAGAATGTTATATTAAAACATTTTCATATGGTTGATATGTCTTTGTAATCTTGAAATAGGCCTGCATTCCAGCCCCTCGAAGTGGGGTTGGGGGCAGCTCAGAATATATTTTGTGAATCAGTTCATGAATGTTATGATAATCTGGCCAGTGTTTAAAATTCTTCTTTTTTATCCTAAACTTTCATAAAATATTTTTACAAGAGGAGTGACTGTTTTAAAACCCAAGTCAGATCATGTCACACCTCTGCTCTTAGAGGCTTTTCTGTGTCATTGAGAGCAAACCCTAAAGTCCTTATGGTAGCCTATAGAGCATGAACTTTGACTCCTGTAGCCTCATTGACCCCTCCCGTAGACTCTCTGCTCCAGTACCTTAATCTTCTTTGGTTGTACCAAACACTGTGGCCTCAGCACCTTTGTAGCCTTTGTACTTGCTGTTTGTTTTCTTCGCTTGGAAGCTCTTTCCCTAAATATGCTCATGGTCGTCCTATAAAATGGCACCCTTTTCTCTCTTGACACTTACTATCACCCTTGCCTGCTATTTTTTTTTTTTTTTTTTGTCAATAGCACTTATCACCATGTGACACATACATTCTCTCTCTCTCTCTTTTTCTTTTTTTTTTTATTGTCTGTGTATACCCACTCCCAACTCTCCAGTGACCCGGTAGAATAAGCTCTCCATCAGGGTAGAGACTTTGTCTATTTTGTTCACTGCTATACTCAGCATGTAGAACAGTATCTGGTATGTAATAAGTACTCAGCAAAATGCTTTGAATGAATAAGAATAACAGCACCTCCTCCCTAATACATAAACCTAACTTTTCTTTTTCTTTTTTTTTTTTTTTGAGACAGAGTCTCCCTCTGTTGCCCAGGCTGGAGTGCAGCAGTCTATCTTGGCTCACGGCAACCTCCACCTCCTGGGTTCAAGCGGTTCTTGTGCAATCATAGCTCCCGAGGAGCTGGGACTATGGGTGCCCACCACCGCACCCAGCTAACTTTTGTATTTTCAGTAGAAACGGGTTTCACCATTTGGGCCAGACTGCTCTCGAACTCCTGATCTCAAGTGATCCACCCACCTTGACCTCCCAAAATGCTGAGATTACAGGCGTGAGCCACCACGCCTGACCTATTTTTAATTTTTTAAGTTTTCCATATTATAGTCCACATCTAGGACATATGTGTATATAATCTTTCATATTCTGGAAATCATAGCTTAGGAATAATTTTTGGTTCTTTTAGAAAATATATAACATATAATAAGCATTTTCCTTTGCTTAGATTCATTTGTTCAGTTGTCCATTCACTCATTCATTCAATAAATGTTTAATGAAACGTTTCTATGTTCTAGACAGTGCTGGGACTATAGTGGTGAACAAGATGCAGGATTTGCCTTTTAGAAACAGTGGTTCTTTATAAACACCATTTGTAATGATGGCCCAGTATTCTATCATCTACCATACCACACTTAACTTCTCCCCTAGTTAGGACTTTTTGTCTATTAATAATAATGTAATGAATATCTTCAAGTTTATAGCAATTACCTTTTACAAATCATTTTTTTTTTTTAGACGGAGTCTCGCTCTGTCGCCAGGCTGGAGTGTGGTGGCCCAATCTCCACTCACTGCAAGCTCCGCCTCCCGGGTTCACGCCATTCTCCTGCCTCAGCCTCCCGTGTGGCTGGGACTACAGGCGCCCGCCACCGCGCCCGGCTAATTTTTGTATTTTTAGTAGAGACGGGGTTTCACCGTGTTAGTCAGGATGGTCTCGATCTCCTGACCTCGTGATCCGCCCATCTCGGCCTCCCAAAGTGCTGGGATTACAGGCGTGAGCCACCGCGCCCGGCCACAAATCATTCTTAAGGTGAGTTCCCAAGCAGTTTTTGGGTTGTAGGATTAAATATGGTTTTGGTTTTTTTTATACCATCTGCCACATTGCTTTTATTTTTTTATTTTTTTGAGATGGAGTCTCGCTCTGTTGCCCAGGCTGGAGTGCAGTGGCATGATCTCAGCTCACGGCAGGCTCTGCCTCCTGGGTTTAAATGATTCTCCTTCCTCAGCCTCCTGAGCAACTGGGATTACAGGCGCGTGCCACCACACCTGGCTAATTTTTGTATTTTTAGTAGAGATGGGGTTTCACCATGTTAGCTAGGCTGGTCTCAAACTCCTGACCTCAGGTGATCTGCCCACCTCAGCCTCCCAAAGTGCTGGGATTACAGGTGTAAGCCAC